CTCCCTCCTGCGCGGGGTGCTGGAGCCGGTGCTGACCATCCCCCCCTGTCCTTGCTGTCCCTGCAGAACTCCATCCGGCACAACCTGTCCCTGCACACCCGCTTCATCCGCGTGCAGAACGAGGGCACGGGCAAGAGCTCCTGGTGGATGCTGAACCCCGAGGGCGGCAAGACGGGGAAGACGCCGCGCCGGCGGGCGGTCTCCATGGACAACAACAGCAAGTTCCTGCGCATCAAGGGCAAGGCCAGCAAGAAGAAGCAGCTGCAGGTGACGCAGGAGCGCGGGGAGGACAGTCCTTCCTCCCAGCAGGCCAAGTGGTCGGAGAGCCCCGCGTCCCACGCCAGCGACGAGTACGACGCCTGGGCGGACTTCAGGACGCGGGCCAACTCCACGGCCAGCACGCTGAGCGGGCGCCTCTCCCCCATCATGTCCAACCACGAGCCCGACGAGCTGGAGGAGGACGACGGGACCCCTTCCTCCCCGCTGATGTACCCCAGCCCCTCCAGCACCATGTCTCCTTCCCTCAGCGCCCGCTGCTCCGTGGAGCTGCCCCGCCTGACCGACCTGACCGGCACCATCAGCCTGAACGAGAGCCTCGGGGAGAGCATGCTGGAAGATCTGCAGGATGGCTACAGCATGAGCCCCTCCCAGCAGCTGCCCCCGGCCGCCCTGCGGCAGCGGAGCTCTAATTTCACCTTCAACTCCAAGTGCTCCACCATGGGGGCTGCCACCAACACGTACTGCGGGACCATCTACAGCCAGCCAGCCATGAGCCTCATGCGCCGCCTGCCCATGCAGACCATCCAGGAGAACAAGCAGGCCACCTTCTCCCCCGTCAGCTCCTACAGGAACGCCTCACTGCAGGACCTGCTCTCCTCCATCTCCTACGCGCACAAGGAGAGCATGGTCCCGGGGGACCTGCCCCTGCCCCAGGCCAGCCCCATGGTGCCGGCCCGTGGCCACAGACACAACCCGCTGCTCTGCGGGGGCGGGGAGCAGGGCTTGTCCTCCTACCCGGCCCACTCGGGCTCTCTCATGAAGAGCAACGCTTTGTACCACCCGTCACCAGCCAGCCACCACCACCACCACCACCCTGCGGTCAACGCCAGTGCCTTAGCTAATCCTGTTAGCCTTATGAGCTTGCCCAGTGACACGTGCAGCATGACGGCCGTGCCGCACCACGGGCACCTGCATCCCTACGCCAATAACCAAGGGGCACACATGAGCTTGCTCGATTCGCTGCAGGGCCCCTACCCGGGGGCCGTCCACCCCCCCGTGTTGGGCCAAGACAGGTTCCCAGCAGACCTGGACCTGGACATGTTCAACGGGAGCCTGGAGTGCGACGTGGAGTCGATCATCCTGAATGACTTTATGGACAGCGACGAGATGGACTTCAACTTCGACTCGGCTCTCCCGCCGCAGAACGGGCTCAACGTGCCCGCCCTGCCTGGGGGACCCCAGCCCACGAACCAGAGCTGGGTGCCCGGGTGATGCCCGCCCTGGGGTGGGGGGCTTGCCACCGAGAAGCCACGAGGGGAACATTGAGACTAACTTTTCTTTTTTCTTTTCCTTTCTCTTCTGCCTTTGTTTGTTAAGACGGGCGAGAGCCATCGGTCTGAGCTTGAGGTTGAACGTGAAACGCAAACCGGAGGGTCAAATGTTGAGGTGGGGGTAGGGACCCCCGCCTCCAGCCCACACGTGTGCCCACTCTGCTGGGCTCTTCTGTGAGCATCCTCTGGAGGACACAGGGCAGGCGGGTGGGATGAGGCAGCCAGAGTCAGGCGGGTCCAGGGGGAGCAGGAAGGGAGAAGTCTTTGCAGATGGCCCCGCTGCCCCGCTGCGATGGTGCGGTGTAGGAGCCCCCCGCGTGGGCACCCTCTTGGGAACAGAGCCCTTTTCTGTGAGCCACTTTGGGAAATGAGTCTTCTAAGGAGAAGTGGGAGGAGCGGGGACCTTTCCTCAGGGCAAGGCAGGGCTCGGCAGGGCTCATCCTCAAATCCTGGGGGAAATGTGAGCTCTGCCAAGCCCACACACCAAGGCCACCTCCACTGCGAGTCTTCTTGTGTGGCTCTGGGCAGGTTCTCTTACCAAGCAGTGAGGAGGAGGGGTTGGTGATGGAGGGAAGGCTGCCCTGGGGACAGCATCTTGGCAGCCCACACCTCCTCAGGAGGCTGGGGGTGCCACGGTCACACCTGCCCATGGGAAAGCTGCAGAACCCTGCCTGGAGCAGGCGTGGGCACGGTGCACAGTGCTGCACGGGGTGGTCCTGCTGGGAGTGAGGGGCTCCTGGCCTGGGTCCCCTGTGCTGGGGGCTCAGGAGCAGCTCACAGGGTCAGGGAGGGACGGGTGTATTTATTTGGTTTCATGCACTCTTTTGCCATTGAGTTTCTGCATCAGAAGGAAGAAAGGGTTGAGTTTAGGGAGAGAAGAGAGGCCGTGGGGGATGCTGATGGCTGCACTCCATTGCATGTCTCGTTTTGGCTCAGCCTTGGCTTTTGGGGTGGAAGCTGGGGGCTGTGATGTGGGTCATCCTGGAGAAGGAGAGGTGTGCGTGCGAGGAGGGGAGGGAGGTGGTGGCCAGGCCTCTGGAGGCAGCGTGGGGCTCACCCTGCCCCAAGCCTGGGTGACACACACGGCTTCCCCCACCTGCAGAGCTCAGGGAAGATGCCCCAGGGCTCCCCGCTGGGGCTGTGGGGCTCCTGGGGAGTGCCTCCAGCCAGCAGCCAGTGTGCCTGCCCCAGAGGCCTCGCTGCCTGTCCTCAGGATGCCAGGAGAGCTGGTCCAGGAGGCTGTCAGCAGGAGGGGTCAGCTCTGCTGCACCCATCTGTCGAGGGCGGGTGCTCCATGAGGGTGAGGACCGTGATCCACACGTGGTCCTGGTGCGTGGGTCCTGCTGCCACCCTGCACACCCATCTGTCGAGGTCGGGTGCTCCATGAGGGTGAGGACCGTGATCCACACGTGGTCCTGGTGCGTGGGTCCTGCTGCCACCCTGCACAGCTGGGGTGGGGATCCCTGCTGCCTGGGGCAATGGGGTTTTGGAGTGGGGCAGCCAGGCAGGCGGATGGGCATCTGGAGTGGCTGCTCCAGAGGAGATGGAGGGGCTGGGAGGAGAGGCTGTGGGAGCTGCTGCTCTGTCCCACGGGACTCTCTTCCCAGTCTCTGTTTCCTGGAGGCCATGGGCTATATACCCCCACCCCTGGGTGGCAGCAAGGGTTAGCTCACTGAACCAGCACGTTTTCCCAGCCCAGCTCTTCCCTTCTCACTCCAGCACCACCTTCTCC